TGTTTGAAATTGAGGGACTTGCAGGAGCAAGGCACAGAAGTAGAAGGGAGAATGATGAGTATATATCATCAGTCAGGGTTTTTTAGTTGCAAGTGACAGAAGCAGTTCTTGGCTGACTAAACAGATATGGATTTTATTATGATAATGGAAGTTCACAAAATTGCTGGGAGAACTGGATAATCAAAACCACACTGGAGAACAGGCATTATGAGGAAACCCCTGCTGCTCTTGTAATAGGTTCTATGGGAAACCACCACTGCCCGCACAAGTGCCAATGCTGAGCCAGGAACTTGTCCTTGCTACCACATCTGCCCATGAAGTACAGAACTTGCTGCTATCAAACTCAATGACACAGTGGTTTCTACAGTCATCCTTCACCAGATTGTTTACTTCTAAATCACAGTTTTACATGGAGAGTTTCATTGAGCTTAAATTACCTTCACCTATTTATTCAAAGTTTATTCAACAACTCAGGTTCATATTAAGTGCCAGATACCATGTCAAACTCTAGGGATCAGCCTAACAAATAAAGTATCTGCCCTCATAAAGTTTATATTCTAGAGACAGTGGCAAGAGAAGGATAATTTTTTAAAAGAAACAAATAAGTAAATAGTATGTCAGTTAATACTAAGTGCTATGGACAAAAATTTGAAAATAAAGCAGGAAATGAAACATGCCCGGAAGGGAGGGTTGTTGCTCTTTTACAGAGAGTGATCAAGGGAAACATGTATGGGTGATGTATAGTAAAGATATGAAGGAAGTGAAGGAGCAAGCCATGTGGACTTTTGGAGTAAGAGCCTACCAGGCAGAGGGAATAGCGAATGCAGAGGTTCTCTGGTGGGACTTATCTATTGTGACCAAGGATTAGCAAGGAAACTCTGTGTAGCTCCAGTGTAACTGGAGCAGAGAGATCAAAACCAAGAATGGTAAGAGATAAAGCTGAAGATGTGGGGGAGATGGGGAAGCCGTATCATATAGCGCTTCGTTAATCATTGAGAGGACTCTGGCTTTGACTCAGGATGAGATGTGGGAGCCATTCCATTGCAGCGTATTGAACAGACGAGAGTCAGTTCTGACTTGTATTTTAGTAGGATCACCTGGATGCTCTGTTTAGACTATATTTTAACATACCAAAGACAGAATCCAGGGAGCCATTGCAACAATCCAAGTTAGAGTTGAGATGATGGTGTTTTGATCACAGACAACAGTGGTAGTAAAGATGGTGAAAAGTGATAGGCTCTTGGATGTATTCTGAATGTGGTGACCCCACTACACAGGGTTGTGTGTGCATAAGCAGGGAAAGCAAAGATGAAGAGTCAGGTGCAGACTAGATTACAAAATCCCTTGTGTGCCAAGCAAGGGAATTTGCTTTCATCCTCAGGTAATGGGTGCCACTTGCAAATTTTAAGTAGAGATTCATATATCGTATTTTATTTTAGAAAGCTGATTTAGTGGCAGAAGTGAGAATGGAGTTGAAGAGGCCATGTTAGAGGCAGTGAGACCTTTGAGGAGACTAATGTCAATAGCCAGACAAGAAAGGATGAAGAATTTACAGAGACAATAGCTATTTATCTGTGATAGTAGATAGGGGAAAATGGTTGTATATTCATTTTCTGTTACTCTGTAACAATTACCATGAACTTAGTTACTTGAACAACACACATTTATTATTTCATACTTTCTGTGGGCTAAGAGTTCAGTCTTGGCTTAGATGGTTCCTCTGCTTAGAATCTCACAGGGCTGCGGTCAGAACGTTGGCTGGGCTGTGTTCTCATGTGGAAGCTTGGGGCATCTTCCAAGTTCAATAAGGTTGCTGGAGGAATTCATGTATTTGTATCTGAAAGACTGGGGACACTGGTTTCTTGCTGGTTGTTGGCTGGAGGCCACCTTCAACTCCTAGACTCTACTCATAGTTCCTTGTCATATGGACTTTTCTCAACATGGCCCAATACTCCATCAAGCCAACAAGGAGACTCTCTAGAGGAAGTTTGCCAGCAATATGGAGCCTTAGCAATGTAAGGTAATCACAGGAGTAGCATTTTATCATCTTACTTCTTTCTATTCATTAGAAGCAAATCACAAGCCTCACCTACACTCAAGTGGGAAAAATTACACAAGGGGGAAATAAACACCAGAAAATGGATCATCAAAGGCTACGTTGGGATCTATCCAGAATGTTAAGGACACAGAATAGAGAAGACCCAGAGAGTCACTGGACGTGGGTGAGAAGAGGAGGGGGAGAAATACAGGATGACACTCAGCTTTCCTGTTTGTATACTTGGTAGATGATGAGGGCCCTCACCAAGATAAACACAGAAGGAGGAGCTAGTTTGGGGAAATAATGAGTCTTCTCTAATTTGGGAGTATGTTTTATCAAAATATTCTTTATTATAATGAAACAAAATGAATAAAGCTTAGCCATAGGGCCCTATTCCTGTTCTTAAACTTGACTTTCGGCCGGATGCGGTGGCTCATGCCTGTAATCCCAGCACTTTGGGAGGCTGAGGCTGGTGGATCACTTGAGGTCATGAGTTCGAGATCAGCCTGGCCAACATTTCTACTAAACATCTCTACTAAAAAAAAAAAAAAAAAAAAAAAAAAAAAAAAAATTAACCAGGTGTGGTGGTGTGCGCCTGTAATTGCAGCTACTGGAGAGGCTGAGGTGGGAGAATTGCTTGAACCCAGAAGGTGGAGGTTGCAGTGAGCCAAGATTGAGCCACTGCACTCCTGCCTGGGCAACAGGGCGAGACTCCTTCTCAAAAAGAAAGAAACTTGACTGTCATAGTTCATGCCACATGCTATTTTGCTGAGCTAAAAGGGAGTTCCTGACTGTGTCTGACTTTTTGTGCCTACAATGGACTCTTCAAAGCTGGAAGGCTGACCATGGAAATGGTGCGCTTGCAGGAGCTTTTGGGATTACAAGTAAGAAAAACTGTTTATAGAAAATGAGATCATTCAGAAGTACTCAGTGCTTATACGTAACTCACTTATGCAAGTTGCCTTAGAATTTACCTCTTTTCTGTAAAGAAAACATCTTTGTCTGCTTTTGTGGTTACAGACAATGTTTTACTTCAAGTTTCCCAAAGGAGAGGAAGGAGTGAGAGTCAGACAGGAACAGAGGGGAAAAATAAAGACGAAACAATACTTTGTAAAACTAATTACTCAAACACATTTTTGACAAACAGTTGTAAGATCTGGTTGCTGTTGCCAATCTGCCACCAAGAAACCTGATGACTTCATTTGGGCCTCTTAAACCAGCTGCCCCTAAAGCTAGCAAGATCTACCCTTCAGTGTCCACTGATAAATTCATTAATAGCTTAAGTGATTTTAGGAAATTTTTGGAAATTGTGTATGAATGGATGGATTCCATGACGAGGTTATTGAGGTCAAATTGTATGTGGCTAGGCATTGCCAGGCAAGTCTAAGAGATTAAATTCAATTATTTTGGGGGACTCAAGTATTGAGGAAATGACTATGTAGCTGGTTAGGAAAAAATAATTTAGAAAGTCCTGTTTTCAGGTACACTGAATGACTGCATTCCTTTCCAGGCCTTTCTTGCATCTACTAGTTGTCAGAGGAAGCCTGTGGTTGTCACTGAAGGAGCCCATTTGTCATAGATAGTTCCTGTTGAGTCTCTTAGTCCACTTACTTTTCAATGAGCTGCACCCAGGAGAGCCCTCCCACAAAACCAGGTTAGGCTGATTCTGTCAGGTGGAAATTTTTTAATGGTAAATGGCAGAAAACCCAATCTAAAATCACTTACGCTACTAAGGAATTTACTAGTGTACACTGAAGAGTAGACCTTGCTAGCATTAGGGGCCCAAATGAAGTCAACAGTTTTCTTGGTGGCTAGAGGGCAATTGCAGCCAGACCTTATACCTTCTTATCATCAAGCCCAGCAGCTTAGACTTTTTTCTCCCAAAGCTGAGCATTCATCATTGTCCTCTCATTGGCCTAGAAGGAGTCACATACCTCCTCTGCATTAGTCACTATGATCACAGGAATGCAATTACTCTAATTTGGGTAAGACCAATTAAGGCTCATCCTGTTTATGGGCATCAACTCTACCCAAAGGACATGGTTTCCCAAAGGAAATATGGGTGCAGTTTTGGACTAGAAGTAGAGTAAGTGAATGTTGAGTGGCAAACACAAGAGAAATTAATCTTCACCCCATAAAGAGTCCTTTTAATTGGGCCAGTAATTTTTTTACATGCAGCATGATTGCCACTGAATGGAAATCTTTCTATGTCCACTTGTACACCTTACACCTGACTTTCCCCACTGCAGCCCCCTGCCCCCACCCTCCCTGTTACCCTCACATGGTTTGACTGAAAGCTCTGGTCGGGAGAGGCTCAGAAATATTTTATCAGTTTGAGTGTAGGCAAAACCTCAGATCAATAAGGGAAGAAAGCCCATGTCATACACTTAAAGGGAGAGAAGAGCCTCCAGATATAATAATCCACTGGGCACCATCAATTAATTTATGAATTAGAGGTTTTAAAGTGCATTCTCCTTACGAGAGAGAGATGAGGCGATATGGGAGTGCTTGTGAGGGATCCTCAGTGAATTAGGTCTGAAAAGAGGAGTTCTATATTTGGATGGTAAAAGAAAGGGAATTAGAAATTTGGGTGGATGCAAGAAGGAACCATGAGGGTTCAGAAAAACCTCTAGTGCTACCAGGGAAGTTTCATTCAGTTGTGTGTTTCATAAGCAATACCAATAGTATAAATAGACTTTTGCTCCTTCACACTAGCCCTTTTGCTTCTTTTGTGGTATTTTTCTTCTATCATATTTGGCTTAAATACCACCTCATTCCAGTGCTTCCCTTCCTCCATTCCCTCCCCAAGCCTTTTTCCTGATGTCTACTAAAAGGCCCCACATCTGATATTAACCTAAAACTTCCTTGATTTCTTAAAGTTAGTTATTCATTAACAGAACCTAAATTACTGGTTGTTAGGCAAATCCAATTCTTTCAAACTACAGATCTGCTCAGAGAAATCTGTAAATCTAGTGTAGAAATCAGTGAAGCTTTGTGCCAATTGTTAGGTCTAAGCAGAAGTTTGGGAGAGAGAAGAGAAGTTACTCATTTGCCCGATTCCGCACGGTGAGTCCATGGGGAGGGAATGAAGTGTACCACTGGCTTGACAAGCAGCTCAGGGAGACGCGGCTGCAGCCCACAGGACTGGGCAGCAGCTGCAAGACTGCCTCTGAGCATGGTCATGGGTCCCAGCTGCAGTGCTCTAAAGATCAAGGATTTTGCCTTCTATTTTCTATGACCAGAGATTCCTGTGCAAAGAGGTATGGCTCTCTTCTTTCATGTCCTTTTGTTCAGCAAAAACAAAAGCTAATTAAAGTAAATGTCAGAGGCTGCAGAGAGGCAAAGAGTGGGAGATAGGAGAAAGGAGCTGAGAAACTTCCAGGGGCTGGCTGATTATGCAGATAAAGCACATTTGGGAGCTGTGTGTCTAGCCATGTATGCAGGCATTTTGGTTATTAGGGTAAAAATGCCACTTCACTGTGGGTTATTAAAACATGTCTCTAGGCCTCAGGAGCAGAAAGCTGTGCTTCTAGATTCATATTATGTGCATTTTTGTTTTACTCTGTAATAATCTAGTCTCATTTCTATTTTATACTTTTGTTTACCTCAATCAACATTTTGCAACCAGCAAAGAAACTGGCTCTGCCTACGAATTTTCAAAGAAAATTAAATACTGTAGCATCATTACAGTCAGTGGGTTGAACAGGGTCACCATTGCTGTTTGTTTTTGCTGCCGTTTTTTCCTTTGGTGTTTCAGATGTCTTACGAATCATAATTAAATCTAACCACTTTTTAATTCTTTCAGATACACACTTAAATTGCTGTAGTAATCAATGATTGGATTAAACGACATTTATATATTTTCGATTTAGAAAGCAGAAAAAATACTTAGAGAAATATTTAAGTTGGTCATATAGATATTTAGTATACGAAACTTAAATGTAAATGAAGATACATTTAACATTGAGTTTTCCATGTAGTTTGAGAGTTTGGGTACATTATCTGGAAGAACAAACCCACAGAATTTGAATTAGGATTTTTCAGCAAGATTTGTATTATTCCAGAGCAAAAATGACCTGCAAAGTCAAAATTTACAGGTGAAAATGAATACACTATAAAACTATGACAAGTCACAAAAGCCTTGATTTGGGAAAGCTTATTAGACTTGAAGATAAGTATTGCTCATTCTTTTTGAAGGAAATGTTTCCTATTTGTGTTTTAATAAGTTGAAATACATAATCAAAATTAAGTCATTTTTTGGGCTCTTGACTAAATAGGTCACCAAACCTATTTTTTTCATGTACTTATGAAATAAGCCTGCTACAAACTTTGATTGTATGCACTCTAGCAAAAAGACAGGGCTGAGTCCTTTAGCATCGCTTGGAATAAGCCAGCCTCAGAGGCTTTCAGTAGAAGTGAACTGTAGCAGCATGCCACAGCCAAGGAAGCCCAGAGACATCCAGGGAACAATAGACATCTTGTGGGAAGGGCTGAAATGTATGCAGCCAATTCCCATGGGAACTCCTGTAGTCCTTTCACGCGGTGTGAAAAAGATGCTCCTTCAAAAGAATCTTTAATCCTTTCTTTCAAGGGAAAAATCTGAGAACTTTATTGAAAGTTTCTAGAGCCCAAATATGTCTCAGATTGTTAATGAGCATTTTTAATACAAGTGAATAAAACAAAAATGTTTTGATGCAGAGTAATGTAGTCTAAAGCATAATGTAAACAAATATTGCCGTTCTAGAGTTTTCTGAAGTGAGGAAACCAGGGTATAGCCTAACCTAAGTTGTAAGCTAGAGACTGAATTCTTCAGAATAAGTTGGTTTCTTGAGTTAATTATGGTGACTGAAATCTCCCCCAAGAGTTTCAATTATTCTACAGGCAGTGTCCCAATAGTGTGGTGATTAAGTCCTCCGGTTCACGTATATTTTCATTTAGCAGAATCTACAGATGCATAATAGAGTAAGCCACTAATGTTTTATTAGTGGGCATTGAGTGTAGGTCACCTTGAAAAGTAGTAAAGTAAGTAGCTAGAGCCCTGGACGGGCACTCCTTTCTCACTAACAAACATGAGAAGGAGTTCTACACTTCCATGGAAAACTCAGGTGTTTGGATTACCCAGCCACAAAAAGTTTGAGATACATTGTATCCTGGCCCATTTCTACTCTGTAAAAACACTCACTGTTATTGTTCAACCTTGGTGGGGGTAGGATCACGGTAAAACTATCTCTCCAGGAAACAAGATAAGGTTACCAAAATCAACAGGGACACTTTCAAGAGAGTGAAGTTTACAGATGAAAAGTGAACAACCCAGAGGTAAGGACAGGATGACTAAGATAGGGAAAGGACAACAAAGATATAAATATGGCACAAATGGAAACAACCTAAACATGTTTAGCTCTGTGAACTCAATTTGGTGAACAGTACAGTTGTGTATTAATTTTTAAAAGGTATGGCATGGGGATGTGTTAACTGGTGGACCATCTATAGGAATAATAGTACTCCTAAGGATATGAATGCTGATACTTCTTCTATGGTTGTCATATGCCAGGTTCTGTGTTGAATGTTTTACATCATCTCCTTAAACCTCCCAACAACCCATATCACAATCGTCAGGAGCAAAGGAGGAACTCCAGGCTCAGGGAGTCTAATTAACCTGCCCACATTTACACTGCAGATAATGACATAGCTGAGTTTGGAACCCAGTTGAGTCTGGGTTCCCATACTCTTATCACTCTGCTCTTCTTACTGGAGTCCCATAGAGTGTCTAATTCAGGACTCTACACCCTTTAAAAAAATAAAACTGTATAAAAATCTAGGGATTAAAAATCAGTAATAAGGAATAAAGGATTAAAAGGGAAGGCTAAAGCATTATCATCTATTCCATTAAAAGAGGAGCCTTCATTAGTATCTTGTAAATTAGAAAACTACTAATGAAAAAATACAGCTACTCATGAATGACTGGATTCTTGATTTTTATAAAGGGATTCTTCAAGGGGATAGTTCTCCAAATGTGGATGTCATAAAAATATGATTGATCACCAACTGTCTAGGCAGATTTATGAGGTCGTTCTCCTGGAACACATGACCTGTTTTAACTGTGGCCACCCTGACCACACCCTTTGAGTAGACACATCACACCCTTTCAGTGAGCACAAAGATGAGATTATCTGCAGGATAGCTGCCTGTAGGCATTGCCAGAAGAGAGATGATTTGATAGCTATAAATCTACCACAGGAACAGATGATTTACGGGTCGAGAAGAATGCAGTTTTAAAAACCTTGCTTTTTAAAGTGCACTGTTAACTAAAGAATAAAGGGGCCGGGCGCGGTGGCTCAAGCCTGTAATTCCAGCACTTTGGGAGGCCGAGATGGGCGGATTACGAGGTCAGGAGATCGAGACCATCCTGGCTAACACGGTGAAACCCCGTCTCTACTAAAAAAACACAAAAAATGAGCCCGGCGTGGTGGCGGGTGCCTGTAGTCCCAGCTACTCGGGAGGCTGAGGCAGGAGAATGGCGTGAACCCGGGAGGCGGAGCTTGCAGTGAGCTGAGATCTGGCCACTGCACTCTAGCCTGGGCGACAGAGCGAGACTCCGTCTCAAAAAAAAAAAAAAAAAAAAAAAAAGAATAAAGGAAGTTTCCAGTGCCTTTTTCTCCATCGGAGTGTCAGTAGATTAAGCAGGATAAACCTTTTTCCTGAGTGTTGCTGCAATATTTAAAAGTACAAATCCAGTATACCTGGTCCACGTGGATTTTTATGAAAAGCTTTCCAGCAAATAACGAAAAAAAGAGAGTATGTATGTTGTGAAGTTTGTTCTGTTTCTTAGCAATTTCCCGCATACTTAAACTTTCAACAATATTACTCTAGAAGCAGAGCAAAGGGATACTTTCTTTAGGAGGTGACCCTTACTGGAGGAACACTCAGTTTCCAAAACGTATGTGAAATCTCAGGGAGAGGGAAGTGTTAATGAAGCTGCAGTTCTCTTCTCCTCCCCTGGGGCTGGGAGAGGTGGCTCCCTACAGCCATTCCGTTCACCTGCTTGAGTTCCTGTTGAAAATTGTTTCCTGCGTGGCTCGCCCCCGCCCCCCATTCTTCCCTGGGAAAGTATAGATTTTCACGAACACAGGGAGTTCTGTTTTCTCTGTTAAAAACAACTCTCCTTTACTGGGGCAGGCTTTGTGTTTCACCCAAGGAAACAGAGCATTGCACTGGGAAGTAACTCCGCTGGGTGAGGTGCAGCCTGTCACCTGACCGGTCTCTGGGGCTGCCGGTGGCATCAGGCTGCATTCCTTGAATTCTTCCACCCGGCACCGGCTCCGCAATGAACAACTTCAGGTTCACTGAGCTGAGCGGATTCCACTCGCTGTGCCCTCGGAGCCTGCCTGAATCTCCCGCCCAGCCTCAAACCATGCAGCTGAGTAACTGCAAGGGCGCCTTTGAGGAGTAGCACGCAGGTAAAGTCGAGTTTGCGCGGGACAGCTGTGACTCCCTGAAATGTGCCGTGTTTGGGGCCGTCATTTCTGTTTTTGTGGTTTCTGTTTCTCCTTACAGAAAGCTGATTCGCCAGCAAATACCTGTAAAAAAAAAAAAAAAAAAAAAAACTAAATAAGGAGAAGGTGGGCCTCAGATTAGAACCCCTTAAAGATTAGGGAAAGAAATTATGAAAGAAGCAAATTAAAGGCAGTAAAAATTGTATAAACCGGTTTTTAAAATCATTCACAAAGTATGAAATTTTGGAGTCTGGCCTACCTGAATGTGAATATTGGCTGTGTGTGTAACCTTGGGCATAATACTTAACCTCACTGGTCCTGTTTCCTCTTAGGTGGTAATATCTACCTGCAGAGTTGATGGGAGAACTAAGAGAAGCATCTAGTGTCTAGTAAAAAGGTTGATGTGTAGAAAGTATTTGCGTCTGTGCACATATGTGCATGTGTGTATATGGTGTGCTTGTGTGTATATGGTGCATGTATATGTACACATGCACACAGGCCACAGGACTATGACATTCATAAGGGTAGGGAGTTTCTCAGAACATGAGGTAGAATTTGATCTGGCTCTGACCTTCCCTGCTATTGCAAAAAGACCAGCAGGAGAAGCCAGACACCTGAGCAAAATATTAATGAAAGCTGCTGAAAAATAAATAATGTGCCTTGCCAGTCCTTATCTAGGAAGGGATGTGCAGCATGTGGAGGTACTCACTGAATGAGAGCTGATGGGAAGAGAGGCAGCTCAATAATAATTATCTCACACAGTCATGAATACAACTATCCTGGGAGACCAGCTGCCTTCAATCCTAACTTGGCAACTTACTCTTCAAGTGCCTCTTGAAGGCTGGTGGTTACTTTCCTCTCTAAACATCAGTTTTTATTGCATTGAATTGTCATAAGAATTAAGTGGCTCAGTATGTGGGAAGCACTGAGGTAAGTACCTGACACATGGCAAACACCCACCAAATGTCAGTTGTGCCATTATTTTATAAAGGACTCCATTACGCATTATCACCTGTGACCCTCAAAACACCCTGATGAAACAGACGAGGTGTTTATTAGCCCCATTTTGCAAATAAGAAAACCAAGGCTCAAGAAAGGAAAAAAAAAAAACATGAACTAAAGGTCCCATAATCACAGAGTAGCTGAGCTGGGACTTGACCCTCGGTTCCTAGATGAGCAGATGACTTAGTATGAACTCAGCACAAGTGCATTGAATGAAATCTGTAAAAATCTTAGTTATCCTAAAGGTGCTTCTCAAATGCCATTTCCTCCATGAAGCTATTCATTATCATCTTCCCCTGGAAGTGACTTCTCTCTCCCTTGTACTTCCCCAAACTTCTTTTTGTGTTATCCAGGAGATTTTTCTTGGTCACTCCCATATCGTAGAAGGTGTTTTGAAGATCACTGTTGAAAATGTGCAAAGGAGTCCTTTGTAAAATAATGTGCAAGTTCCACCTCTCCCCACTCCACCCCTAGGTTTGTGTAAGCTTTCCTGTATGGCTGTGTGTTAAACAACTTGATGTTTCTGTTTAGGGCCCAAAGCAATGTTTTGCATGCGATGGGCCCTCCAGAGTAACAGCTGAAGTTGGAAGCATGAATGTGGGACTCCACACCAGGTGTCACGTAAATGTGAAGTGTGCAGAAAGAGCCCAGGAAAAGCCTGGGGGTGCTCCTCTGTACCAGCATGTATTTCTGCTCCTTCTTGGAGCTCCTGAGCATCTATGACTGGGGCAGCTGAATGTACTTCATGGAGTGCCACATGTCCAACAAACTGACAGGTCAGGTGAAGTCATTTCCATCCAGTTTTCCTGAATATTATTTTACTGAGACTCTTGTCACTGTAAATATCTGAGCCTGGGAGGAAAATGTGTTAAGAGAAAAATGTAGGAAAACACTGTGCCGATTTTTCTTAGAGATATTGTGATTCACTCTTCCACATTTCCCAGGGTGCAAACTACTTTGCAGTACCTCACTCTGTGCTCCACCTGCCTCTGAAAGCTTACCACTCTCCTTTGCTCTTCCTCCAAGCATCTTCTCCTTGTGACTCTCTTGCTCTCTGGTTGCTCTAAATCCCAGGGCATAGAATGGGCAAGGATTCAGGAGCAGTATAGAAGGGGACAGGAATTTATTTCATTGCTTAATAACCCTGCTCACACCTTCATCACTAAATATTAATAATGCTCTGAGGACCTTTACTCCTTACAGTAGCTTCACATCTTACATGGAGTCAATATTTCATAATGGTAATGAACTTGGAATCTAGCACTACTGGGGTCTCTGAATTCAAATTCCAGCTCTCCAGCTTGGTAGCTGCATGACTTTAGCAGTTACTTAACTACCTCAGGTTGCTCACCTACAAAGTGGGGATGATATATCTTCATATAGTTACGAGGATTAGATGAGTTAATATTTACAAAGTGTTTATGCCTGGTACATAGATAAAGGCATGTAAGTATCAGGCTTCATTTTTCAAAAGCTGGTAGATAGTACAAAAATTGCATATAGGCAGTATTTTCCTTAAAATCCCTATGACTCATGAATTGTACCACTTAGAATACTACAGGTAGCTTATTTAGTTGAGTGTCTAATTAAAGATTTGGCTTGTATTTAGAGGCCATGTTGTGTGAAGAGTATGTGTCTTTAAACTTGCATTCAACACGAAGAGGTGCTCTCAAACAATAGCTCAGAGGAGAGGGCTGAGACTACCCAAGGGAACAACAGATTCTCCTCTCCCTTTTCACACTCTTTCTGACAAACACATTCAGAGTAAAATGCTAGGCAGAATTGCCTATTGCTTATATTAAATAACTCACTCTTGGCTCTCACTAAGCATGTGGCTGCATTTGTAAGTTACCCACATGTATGAGGTGATTCCCCTCTACTGTAAACTGTGAGGGAAGCGCACTGGACTGAAATCAGGAGACTATCCTTGCCACAGCTATTATGGGGCCTTGGGGAAGTCATTAAACCTCACTGCCCATTAAATGATTACTAAGGTCTCTACCAGTGCAAATGGTCTGTGATTTTATTAGGCCCAGAAGGGAGCTGATGAGAATAATCAGATGTCTAATTTGTGCCTTTGGTCTCCTCTCTATAGACTGTTAATTAGGTGAAAAATATAGTGGGACTTTATTATTTCAACTGGAATAGAGGGAGGGTTGCCTGATCTCAAAGCCCTCCTTTTAGCCTTCATGGCAAGGCTATCATGTTCATTTAAGTGTTCAAGTTCATCTTCATGTTCAGTAGAGATTTATCTAATGCCATTCTCCTAAGCAGCATCCTTTATTTTATTACTACTTGATTATAGAGTACGTAGGAGTAGGGTAAGTACTGAGGACACCTTTTTGACTGACAGAGGGGGGAACTTCTCCTGTTAGCATAGCAAGGCAGCCCAACCAAGAGGGTAAGCACTGGTTTCTGTGTCCAGGTTCTGGAAGAAAGGGTTCTAGGAAGTGGGTCTAGGAGATGTTTCCTATGCTCCCTCTTTTCCTTTTGTTCTCCCTTTCTGTTTGATTCCCATGAGAATCTGTTTGAGGAAAATCTGGCAAGTGTTAGGCATGATTATTGTTTGTCCTTGTGACATGGAGAGAAGAGAAGGATATAGAAAGGAGAAAAGTGTGGGGCTCATGTTGACTTTTAAAGTTCGAATTAAATTCTGGAGAAACCTAGTAATTTTTGACAAGACTTTTTGAGACAAAAACAAAGAAAGAGCTCATTTAAAGATCATTAAGCCGGAATCTATTACTCCAGGCACATGTTTCCAAGCTTCTTTTTTCTCTCTCTCCGCTGGACACCGAGTTCACATTCTGAGCTTATGCCATTCTGCCAGGGGCTATATTGTGTCATTTGTTTCCCTTGCAGAGAGTGTCAATGAAGACCTCAAAGTCTGGAGAAAAATGATCTTTCATGGAATAAGAAGTATACCTCCTGCTACATGTTTTTGTCTTACTGACCTCTGATACCTGAAACACATGGCTCTGGGTCTGTAGAAAGTCAACTGATCAAACTCCTCCTCACCATGCATCAACTGTTCAGACTGGTTTTGGGACAAAAAGATCTTTCACGAGCTGGGGACCTCTTCTCCTTAGATGACTCTGAGATTGAAGACAGCCTGACAGAAGCTTTGGAGCAAATTAAGATAATTAGCTCATCCTCCGTAAGTAAACTGGTTTACAGACTACATCTCTGAAATGGCCTATCCTAGAGCTAGAGATTTGTACATATCCTGGCAGAAGAATCTTTGCAGGGGAAAGAGGAAATACCACTAATATGGGTCTTTCTTAACTCTGCTCTGTGGTTTTGTTGGCATCTAAGAAATAACAGTAGGGAAGTCATGGCTTAGCGGGGGCAGTTAGATTGTCTTTTGCCCACTCACAAAGACCAGAATTCTGAAAATTGCAGACCAAGGTGGAATTCTCACAAAAATATTATTTAGGGGCTATTTTTATTTCCTTGAAATGACACTGAGAGGAGAGGGAGCAAATCCAGGGAAAAGCAGACCTGCAGAGCAGCACAATAGCATCGGTAAACAAGAGCAGGGTGTGTGGGGGAGGCTGAATAATGAAAGAAGGCAGGATGACACTTCCTGCCACGCAGGTAATATGAGACAAGGACAACAATCGCTCGGCTGCCAGAAGTGACAGTTGCCCAGGGCTTGATAACGCTGATTCTGTTTACTTCTGTAGTGTCTCTATTTTTTATCTTTCTCTTGCTTCTTTTTCTACCCACCCACACCCCTGCTCCCTGGACCCGCCATTTAATTCCACCCACCCATTATTAGTCCCCAGTGTGATCAGACAGATGTAAAACCTCCCATCAATCCTTGCATTCCTTTGCTTCTCTTCAATGTCAAGATTATGAATTCTGAAAGCACTTCCCAAAGGGGATGGATGTGGAGTGCCCAGTGTGCTTTCATGTTGACCGTCTTGATTATACTTGGACCCTCCACGAGACTGGTCCCACTTCAAAGGCCTGGGGCCACCAGGCATCCACCCACATCCTCCCAGCTCAGCAGTGTTTGCCAACACTTGGCACAGACACCCATTGGGAAGAGGAAAGTGGTGGGGCTCAAGCCATACAATACTGAACTGGCAAATGTGTGTGTATTTCAGAAACAACAGCGCTCTTCCATGTTACAAAGAAGACATATTTGAAAGGTATACTGGCAACCTATGCAGCCTCCTCTTCAAGCCTATTTTCTCTTGCTGGCTGCCATTAACATCCCGAACTCCCCCCAGTGACCAATGAAGTCACTGCTCAAAAAACTCTTCTTTTTCTCAGGTAACGTCTTTGATGGCAATTACTCATCCACATCTTTTCCAGAACATTAATCAACTTAGTTTGACTCAAAGCACAACATGTTCCTGGTACATTTTCATTTTCTGGGTAAGATTTTTGTCCTGTTTTCAGAAGCCCGTTCTTTCACAGTCCTCTGCAAATAAATTGGCTGAAAATTACACTGGGTTTTCATCTTCTTAATAGGAAAGCAAAACAAAACAGAAATCAAAGATCACATAGGTTCCCTAAAGCCTACTTCCACTAGAGGTCACTAGTGGCCAGTTATTTGTTTTGTTTCCATCATTATTTCTTTTGTTTCCATAATTGCTTGTTTCACAGACATCAAATTCAGAATTTTAGGACTGGTGACTCAGTTCTATTATATAGCTCCACTGGTTAACTATTAAGGCTGGCAGGTCCCTTGTCATTAGGATCATCGTCCATTCCTTAAGCTGTCCAAATAGCATCTCACTCTACCAGGAGTTCTGGAGAGCCAGTTGTTGTGTCTTCTTCATCTACTAACTTTTACCGCATCTGACTTCTTCCATTTCTATATCTGTAACCCCTTCATGGAGCAGAAGAAAAATAGTAGCTTCTAATTTATATATATCAAGTTTGATGTTACCAATGCCAGCAGCTCCTTATCTTCCTTTTCTGATTAGCACATGGAACCACCATGCCTGCTCTATGGCTTACTTCCCTGTTAGCTGTGTCCCATCCTTCTCTCAGATCCAGCCCCAGCTATTCCTCTCTAGGCCTTTCCTAATGACCTTGGATCTCAGTAATCAATTCCACTTCTCAGTTTCTCTTCAGAAATGTAGAACAGGAAGGAATCTTCTAAATTGCCTTTTCCAACTTCCAGCACAGAAGATTGCTGAAAAATAGGTGGCTTCTCCTGCACTTGCAGTGATGAGAATATGCTGGGTTTCTAATATTGTTACCTGCTCCTCAGTTCCCTTTGGTAAATTGTCCCTTTCCGTTGCATGAAGCCTTGATGGCATCTCCATCAAGGTTACCTACCATGAGTGCCCACTACCCTTCCCTATCAGGGGTAGGGGAGAGAAGAGGTGAGACACATGGCCCAAGCTTGAAAATCAGAAGTTTTTCCCCAGTAATTTTAAGAAAGATATCAGCAGAGGGTGATTTATCATGAGGACGGTGCCCTAAAGAAACAATACTTTACTTCCTCCCCCTCCATCATTGTAGCTGCCTTGATCACTGTTCCTTTTAAGGCCTGGTCCTTTACTTTCTCCTTCAAATATGGGGGCCACCTCTTATCTTCTTATTATTGCTATTATTATTATTATTTGCTGTACTTATTCAGACTTTTTCTGTTGCTTATGATCAAAGAACCTGACAAAGAGATAGCTGTTTCATTGTTGGGAGTTCAAATGGTTAACATGTTCCTCTGCTTAGCCAGATGAAATCTTACTTTGTACTTTCTAACTGTTGTCTCTGTTCTGGTCTCTGCCCCCAACAATCAAAAGAGTCTACCCTCCATTTCTACAAGAAAAACTTTAAACCTTTTGAAGATAAGCACCAGGCTTCACCTCTGGCTTATCTCCTCCCAGCTAAACATCTTAGTGTTTTTGGGTTTTTCCATGAAAAAGAAGGAGCCTGTGTCAGGGAAAGGTTACACCACCTCATGTTGTAGCCCTCAATTGTCAGATCTGGAAAACTCAATTTTGTTGGTACCTGAGAAATGCTATCCAAATCATGCTATCCAAACACAAGACTTGGAAATATAAATTAGAACACGATGTATTGATTTACAATGAAAATTATAACTCATACAGATCAGAATTCTTGTGTGTTTCATGCTGTTCTCCTCAAGTCTGTTTACTCAGTCTTTCTTTGGGTAAGAAATACTTTTATTGATTAGGTTTCTTCCTCCTCCATTGCAATCACATTCCAGCCCTTCCTCCCTGAGATTACATCTAACTCACTTGCAAAGTCACCCATGAAAAAGTAATGTCTTGGTTTAGGCCTGTACTGGCTAATCCCAGTCATACGAGTGGACTTTATTGGTTTAATCCTCAAAGGACAATCTTGTTTCTACCTTGTTAGAGAAGGCTTCATTGAAGCTCCCAAGTATTGCCTACACTCTTAACATTCTGGTTACCCGCCTTTGGAATAGTCCTAATTTATTATTGTAACTTATCGTTGCCCAATGCTCAGACCAATTGCTTAGAACAACTACTAATACTAGTCAAATATTCTGTGTTTTTAAAAAATCAGTTGTCCACATTTATCTTGTGATGTGCTAAGGCATTCTGGTTGAATCAAGACTTGTAATTACAGAAGTTTAAATTTTTTAAAGTGTATTCTGCCACATTTTAAACAATGCAAAAAAAATTATTGTCTTTAAGCCCTCATTCCAGAATATGCCTTTTAAACATCATGATTCTGTCAAATATATTACTTATCACTTTCAGCTCTGTGGAATCCAAAAATGTGGCAAACAAGCCTCCAATCCTTCCCCCAGAGCCACTCACAAAATAATTAAACCTTACTAGATTTCACTCTCCAGTCCATGTCCTCTTTTTCTACCAGTTACTACAAAATACTGCTATGAAATACTTTGCCCTTATGTTTCACTTTGAAAATGTGACTCCTCAACTCAATATCCTCTCCAAGTTCCCAAACATACCTTTAAGTTTTGTCTTTTCATTTTGAGTCCTTTCTAGACCACTTTTACCTAATAATCACTTGTACGAACTTGGCTTTCCTCCCAGGCTACTCCAAATGAGATTGTCTCATCCACTTCTCCCACCTTTCCCTTGGTGTTCACCTCGTGCCCAACTGATCCATCCACCTTCCAGTACTCTTTATTTTTCTTTTAACAATGAAACACACCAGGCACACAGAATCACCCACTTTAACATGTTAGGTACAATTGAAAATCCCTGCATATCTGTTTTTAATCTAATTCTCCTCCGTCATGCTTCCCAAGGTAACCAATATCCTGCTTGTGGTATTTAGCTATGCATGTTTGCTTTTTGTTTTTGTTTTTGCTACATATCCATGGTTCCAAAGTGAATTATAGCATAATATTTCGTATTTTTAAACTTTATATAAATGTTGTCATAGGGCTCAAATTACATTTTTGAGATTTGTCTATATTGGTGCATGTAGTTTCAACTCATTTATTTTTGCTGAGGCAGAGTATTCCCTTATAAGAATGTGCTACAATGTGTCCATTCTTTTTTTAGTCTACATTTATTATTTAAACAGTGCTACAGTAAACATCCTTGTAATTGGAAATTTTGGCCAATTATTTCTAAAGTTCTAAATACTTGTAATTGCCAAGTATTTCTGAAGTACACAATTAAAAGTGAAACAACAGGTTTTAGGGTTTTGTGTCTTTGCAACTTTATGATTATACCAACAAATTGCTTTCCAACGTGGATGTGCCACTTTACACACCCGACATCAGTGTCTGAAAGTTCCAGTTGTTTTATATCCTCACCAGTGCTTGTTTTTATCAGATTTTAAAAGTTTTTTTTTTATCTAAGTGAAGCAGCATGTAATTGTTTAAACATACATTCCTCTCATTATTACCGAGGTTGACCACTTTTTCATATGCTTATTTGCTATTTGCCATTTGTTTTCCTCTGAAGGAAGTGCCTACCACTTTACTTCCAGTGAAGTATCTGTTTATGTTTTTTTTTTCTTTTTTCTTTTGTAGTTTTAAAATCTTATTTTATAAACTGGAGTATTTTGTATATTCTTGTATTAGTCCTTTGTCACCTACGCAGGTTGCATATCTCACTCTGATACACAACTTCTCTCTTACCTTGTAATAAGTCTTGATATCTGGTAGGACAGTATTCCCAAACTTCTTTAACATTGCTTTGTTGGTTTCTGTTCTTTAATAAT